ATGTCATATCCACTACACAAAATTTAACAATTTTACAAATTTATAATTTTTTAAATATTTACCTGTTTTACAAATTTCAGTACGCGGCAGCACTGTGTATCAAAGTGCTCAAAACACGTGTTTTTTTTTTTTGTTTGTTAAAATGTTTTTTAAAAAAAATTTTAGTTTAATTATGAATTACGAATATTATAATAATAACGAACTTACATTTTTACTGAAAAATAAACAAAAAATTTAATTCATTTCATATTGTGTAATTAATGCAGTGCACAAATTCAAAGTGAGTTGGGATGATTATTGCAAATATTATTTATATGTAATTTTTTTATGTTTTAAAATGTACATATGACTCTGCTAAGGCTTTAATTTGTAAATAATTACGTTGTACTTTGTTTTTTGCTAAAATTTCCCACAAACTTCATTCAAAGTATGATATTTCAGAATTCTATATTATAACGCGTAAATTACTATTAATTATTATATAATTGAAGTCCGGCTTTTCAAATAATTTTAAATATATATTTTAACGGGTTTTTCAATAACACCGCTACAATAAATTTTTTAAATGGGCCATTTCGTGAGATAACACGTTCACAAAACTTGGTTTTCATTAAAACGTCCTGTTGGAAAAGCATATTCTCGAAGTCCACATCATCCAATTCTGACCAAAAAATTTGGTTATCATTGAGCGGCAGCGATTCCCATGATTCACAGTAACATGCCGGCTTTGATCATCACTGAAGATCGCAAACCGCACCAAACGGTAATTTTTTCGGGATGCAATTTGCTTATTGACGAAGCCATTCAGCCAGATCTTGTAAGGATGAGGCCAAAATCTTTTCGCAAAATTCGCCACGACGACGTCACAGAAATGCCCACGGTTGAAAATGACGTGTGAGAGACTGATTAGGGTCTTCCTCAATTGATACGGCAGCGGCAGCAATATTCTCGAGACTGCGGGCACTACTTTGTCTCTCTGCAACATAAACATTTTGTACTGTGCCTGTGTTTTTCCACTAGACGCTCAATTGTTGAACTGACAGGACGATTATGACGACCATAAATTAGCTTTGACTCCGAAATTATAATAATTTCGACTCGTTCTTGAATCGTATATCTTTCCATGATGAAAAGGAAAATCTTACTGAAGAGAAATGTCAAAAGCGCGGGAAAATCCATATTTTGTCGTTTGCAATCCCCATTAGTCTACTTTTGTAGCGACCCTATTAAAAAACACATTATAAGAGCGATCAGCTTAAAGGTAAGACTTCGTACTTAAAAAATTTCTCAGCCAGTTTTGTGTATACTGAGTTTTGTTTGAGCAAAAGAAATACGCCATATTTTATAATATTTTTTGTCGATAAAGTTGAAAACGCTCGTCAGGAGGCCCAAAATAGTGATTATAGTCCAGATACCGATTTCGTGGATTTCATTCCGGTTATTTTGATGTCAAAGATTAACCAATTGTTGAAAATACCGATAAAATAATGTAAATCGTGGAGTCGGACTGTCTCGGAAGTAATCGATACAGGGATTGCACAGAAGCTAAGCATTCAATAAAAAAATATTATTGCGAGAACTCCATGAACCGAATTCCCATCAGAAAATCGCAAAACATTTTATCAATTTCTGAAGCGATGGCTACGAGTGATGAAAAATTGGTCACTTAGGACAACGTCAAGCGAAAATGGGTATAGTCGAAACGCGTTAAACCTGCGCAAACGATCAGCAAGCCAAGATTAACTACTGATGATGATGTTTTATTATGTTTTGGTGCATTGGCAAGAGACCACCTACTACATAATGCTTAATCCTATCAATAATTGGATCGGGTTAAGAAAGAAATGGCCTAGACGCGATTGCGCGAAGTTATCGAAATACACCATGCATTAAGTAGCTGATTCGGATCAATTTTAATATGCTAAAAACTGAAACCTTCAATTTATTGCAAAAAATAGTGGAAAGACCACTAGAACTTTCATCGAGCTGCAATTTCTCAGCAGCAATAATACATTCATACCACTTTTCTTTATCTTATTTTTAGCCCTCAATATCTCCACCACCCATTTTATAATATCGCTTTGCTTTCTCGTAATTTGCACTTGGAAATAAAAATCGCTGGGTTGCTAAGCACCTCAAAATTATTTAAAGTTCAAAGTACGATCACTTTGGCACCCAAGTCAAGTGACGCTATCAACTTCGGTTTAAAGCGCGCACGTTCAAATCAAAATCCTCTGCTTACCCATTCTAATACACCCAACTATTTGACTATGCCTAACGCTGATCGTAAAATAATGATTATACTGACAAAGTAATCAAAAAGTAAAAGACTTTTCGGAAAGGCGCACGTGCAGCGCAAACGAACCGTGTCTACAACTGCCATTATGCGCCGTGCGACTTTTGGTGTGAAAAAGAATTCTTAATGCGCCGCTGCGTTGTAACTCAACACACACCGGTTATTATGCCAAAGTACGCACAGCAATTAGAACATCTGCTGAAATTACTTACATACATGCATACATATATACATAATTGTTTCTTCCTTCCTTCCTTGACTGCCCCCAAGTGTTCTTGTATATGCTAGCAAAGGCAGCCATTAGCCGTTGAGTTCTTTCAAGCGCTTGTCAGCCGAACAAAGGCGCTGCTTTGACGGACGGAAGTGTGTCGCAATTTCTTGTTTTGTTACCTTTCCAAGGATTGTGTTGGTATGTGATGTTTGTATGTATTCGTATAGAGTTGGGTTCACGGCATTTTGTTTACCCACCCCTTTGTACGCTTACAAATGTCGATAGTAGCGCGGCGCGGCAGGGAGGCACATAATTATTGCGCAATTCTGCATTTATGTAACGGAGATTTTTTCAATTCTTCAGTTGCATACCTTTACAACGAACGAGTTTACCTTTATGCCCCGCATCTCAGCAGCAAAACGTGGGAAAGTGGTTTTTTTCGCCATAAATCGCACAACTACCCATTAGTGATGCCAATGAGCATCGCATAGACCAGTTTTGGTACTTTGCGATATCAGAGGAAGTTCAGTTACTATTTCCATGGGGAGTAGTCATACAAATATAAATTCATACTCAAATTTCAACCGATTCTGTGCCCTCACTATCGATTCCTCTTCTAGCCAGTCATATCGTGGGACCTCAGATGGTTACAGCCTAGTCTTGCCAATGCGGACAAGTGCACAAGAGATGCTATGTTTTTGGGTGTTAGCCGTACTCTCTCGATGCCTCTGTGATCTGGCACCCAGTGTGAGAGAAGTTGCTTGCTTCTGACAACGGCTGGTTCCCAAAACCATCTGTTTCTATGTTAACTTTGAACCTTCTTTCCCAGTTGGAAAGTGGAATCATGTAGTCGGTGCTTGCCAAACCGCCATTACCCACTGATCTATACTCAAAGGTATGTAAATTCTTCTGCAGCCAGTAGTCGTCCCGCCGATTTTATTGCGCAAATTTCAGCGAAGACGTCTATATGAGTTATGCTTAAAGCTCCCGCTAAGCACATCGCAGCGAACTTCTGAACCCTTTACATTGGCTTTCTTTAGCGGGATTTCCGAACGCCTGTCCCTCTATCGTAGAATTGGTCTTACAATAGCTGTGTCGCACCAGTGAATGAGAGACGCAGAGAGCCGCGGGTTGTGCCAGGCATCTGTCTACACGCATATAAGACATTGCTAGCTTTTCTCACTCACTTTTTCACATTGCGCTTCCACAGCAGTTGGCTGTCTAGGACTACCCCAAGGTATTTGGTGCGATCCTTGAGAGACAGAGTTGTGTCCCATTTATCAAATGAAACTTGCATGGAAGAATTTTGTGCTCTCTTGTGACCATGAGCAGATCCGTTTTCTCCGGGTTCAACCCCAGATCCACTTACGATGCCTGGACTGTATTGAGAGTGATGGTCATAAGATTGCTAATGGTCTGTAGATACCTACCCGTTATTAAAGTGACAATGTCATTATACCTACAACTGCTGGCAAAAAAATCACACAAATTTTGAATTTCAAAAGTACCGTTCTTCAATGTTTAATGTAAATGGTAAATATTTATTTAAAAAAATAAATAAATCTCACAAGCAATGCAAAGTTTCTTACATAAGTGAAATCGACCAAAGTGTGGACTTGGTCTCGTCTCAATCATCCCCACACCCGCCTACATATTACGCGCCTTCAGCACTTGCTTCTGCGGACTGCATATATTCTCTTTGCCTGGGAAAAGTACGGTCTTCTTGGGTGTGGTGCGTGGTGTGCGCGGTGTCTTTGGCGTACGCGGTGTACGTGGTGTGCCAACATTAGATCCGGGTGCGGTCGATAGTGTTATCGTCTTGTTGGCGGGTGATGATGGTGTCATGCTGCTGCGCGACTTCTTGGTGCTATTTGGCGTGGCTGGTTTCAATAAGTCGTTGATTTCATTGCTGCTCTCGGTGCGTACACATTTATCGCTGCTGGATGAGCTCAATAGCCAAGAGGCGATCTTATCACATTCAGCGCGCAACTCGGTATCGATGAGTAGATCTTCGATCTTTTCCAAATCTGTGCTATTCTCACGCTTTGTGATGCCCTCTTCGACTTTAGACTTGAGCGCGATATTCTCCAATTTTAGTTGTTCACATTCGTCGCGCACTTTGTGCAGTGATTTCTCTTTGCTGTCAAGTTCCAATTGTGCAAATTGCAGCACGGTGGCGAATTCGTCCAGTGCCTTCTTCATATCCTGCATATACAGCTCACGTGATTCGTCCTTGCGCTTCAGCTCATTGTACATGTCCAGGTAGTGTGCGACATCTGTCGTATTGATGCGCTCCTGGAATGAGGTAGCAATTTTATTGAATTTTGCCAAAGTGTCCTCTTCCGAGGTGATTATATCATTGAATAGGTGCTCTTTAATAGATACCTCTTGTTGTAGTGTTTGCGACGACTGGCATAGTGTCTTCAATGCGGTCTCGGCTTCAGCGTGATTATTGCGCATCGTCTCCAATTCAGCTTGCAGCGTCAAATAGCTTTCCTCCAATGCGCCCTTAGCCAGCTGCACTGATTCCAGTTCGGCGCGGAATTGTTCGACATCCGCATCGGATTTCTTCAAACGTTCCATCAATATATTAACCGTGGAACGTGTATTACTCAATGTTAATTGATAGTTGTACTTTTCGGTAATGACTTTCGCCATATCTTGTTTCAAATCAACAACTTGTTTTTGCAATGTATCCGTCAGTTGGATGTAATAATCGATGCCATTGCGTATTTGCTCTTCGTATTTTTGTATCTTCTCATCGCGGTCGCGCAACATGTCATTGGTGGTCTCCAGCAAGACCATAACGTCTTGCTTTTCCAACTCCACTTTTATAATCTCGTTTTCGGCCAATTTCTGACGCTTATCGAGTTCGGCGCGCCAATACTGCTTCTCACGTTCCAGCGCATTCTCCAAATCGGATTCGAGTTTCTGTACTTTCTGCTCCGCCTGTTCCTCAGCGCTGCGCACCTTCTCTTCGGCGGTCTCAATCAGTTGCTCTTTCTCCAACAGCTTCGCCTTTTCGCGACACAACTGACGTATGGTGTCGCAATGCGCATCGATCTCGCAATTCTTATCCAACAGCTCATCCTGCAGCGACTTGATGAGCTCACATTTGCTTGCCAAGTCATTTTTCAAAGTGCTGCGCTCCTTCTTCAGACACTCCATTTCGTTTTGTGTGATCTTGTGCTCTTGCGCGTACGCCAAAGCATCGCGTTCGATTTGCTTCTGCAATTCAGCCAAGTCCCGACTAAACGACTCATTCGTGTTGCGCAAATTCTGTATGAGTTCAGTGTCTTTTTGTGCGCGCTCTTCGTGTGTTGCAAGCTTCTCGCGCGCCTCACTGATATCCAGCTGCAACGCGTCGATTCTATGCTGTTTGATTTTCTCTTCAAGACATTGTTGCTGTGCCTCTTGCTGCAGCGTGGCATTCTGTGACTTCAGCTCGTCGATAAAAGCTTGCAATTCCGCCAACTCATCAGTATGACGCGCTATGAGCATATTCATCTCCTGCGCCGTTTTGTTGCAACTCTCTGTGAGCGCCACATTTTCGGCGCTCAGTCGATCATTCAACTCTTTGTGCGACACATTTTCCGTTTGTAGTGCATGTATTAGATTTTCGGTTTTCGCCACAACACTAGCATTCTCCTCACGCAATTTCTGCTCCGTCTCCTTCAGTTGTTCCACATGGCGCTTGAGCACATCAATCTGACTCATATAGCTTTCGAGGAGCTCATTCTTTTTGCGTATCTCTTGCTGTAGCGCCTCTTTACCTTTAAGGCGACTACCGCCCGACTTGGTCGCATCCTTCACCGGTGTTGTGGTGGCCGAATGCAAGGGTGTAGAACTGGCGGTACCACCATTGTTGTTGTTGGCGGCATTTAATGTACTTGCCTCGGTTGGATTGTGTCGAAAGCGTAAACGTTGCGGCAGGGATGGCGTGCGAAAGAGTCGCAAACCTTTTGACTTCTGTCTCTTATACACATCTAGATGTGTATAAGAGACAGGTGTAGAACTGGCGGTACCACCATTGTTGTTGTTGGCGGCATTTAATGTACTTGCCTCGGTTGGATTGTGTCGAAAGCGTAAACGTTGCGGCAGGGATGGCGTGCGAAAGAGTCGCAAACCTTTTGACTTTTTGTCGTCCTTCACCGCGCCATCCTTCGGTATGGCGAACTCCTTGGCCTCCTTGCTGTTGGTGGCGAAACGCACGGCGTCTTTAAAGAATTTCTCGATCTGCTCTTTGCGTTCGGGGTGTCCTGTGCTGGTCGCCGCTATACTGTTGGTGGTTGTTGTAGCGGCGGTGACGGCATTTATACATTTGCTCGGTGTATTAACTGTGCAGGCGTCAGTGACCAAGCGCGCGGCTGCGGGTGAGTTGGCGCAATCGACATCGACGTCATTGAAGCGTTTTAGTTTGGCTTTAGAGAAAGACATTTTTCGGTAGTTGCTGTTACTGTTGGTTTTTGGCAGTTGACGGCTGGTTGCTGTTGCCTATTACCAGTTGGTTGCTGGTGGTTGTCTCTGGGCAGTTGGTTGCTGGTTCTTAGTAAGTGTCGTGTGCTGCGTGGCAGTTGAAAGATTGTAGCGATAAGCAAAGAGGGTTGACGCAACTGTTTGGTCGACCGTTATTTTAATTTCTCACTAAAATTTTTTTTTTGTTTTTTTGAATTTTCGTGTTCTTTCTTGAGCGCGTTTCGTGTAATTTTCAATTATGTTTCAACACACATTTAGCTTAGCGAAAATAATAAATGTATTTTCCAATAAGAAAATAAGCAACAGTTTAAACAAAAACTTAAAGATTTCAATAAACAAAACTGTAATAATTTAACAAAGTTTTTTTCGGCTATTTTTTGGTTCAAAAAAACACTAAAAACACACGGTTACTGTTTCGGCATTGGCGCTGTAGGAGACCCTCTTCTTTGACGTAGAAAAGTTCCTATTCGTTTGACTGTAGAATCCTAACTGTTTCCATTCGATCGCCGATCGTGCCAAACATAGCTCTGTTGACGCGTTTGGCAGCGCTGCGCTGCGCGGCTCGGTGGTGGTTTTACTTCCAATTTTTGTTGTGCAAAGGTGGTGGTTTTTACCTTGTAACTTTCTTTAGTGCGTTTTGTTTTTGAAATGAAAGGTGCCGTTGCGGATGAAGGAGAAACCTACGAAATGGAACAAAAACAAGAAAATTAGCTCTGCTTACAAGCAAGCCAATGCGCACGGCAGCTATTGCAGTCCTTTACTTATTCTCTAACACAAGTAATTTTGCTACGCATATACAGATATATAAATATATACAAAAATATGTATAACTGATAAGGTATGCGTATGGCTGTTCATTCTTGTAGAATACAATAGCTTTCCATTCCTTTGTTGGCTCGGTGTTAAGTTTGAATGCAAAAAAATGCGCGCAACTTCGCCACGTTCATGGGTGTTACCGGAAGGAAGCTCAAAATAAATGCTATAATCAAATTTGATACGTATTACGATCGCTTATGGAATACTAGAATATACTATGTCATATAGTAAGCTTGTAAATGTATTTAAAGAAGTATGTATACTCACTTTCAAGCATATATGAACATACATAAATAAATATATAGTAGGTCTATAAGAATATCCTTCGGTATACATCTGCACTAAAAAATTAATTGAAGAAAATATTTTTGGATCATCTATACTTAATAAATCCATTCCCATTTGTTAAATCCGCTTCACTGAATCACCTTACTGCGACAACACTGAGTTTTGCTGACAATACCGGTTCTTTCGATTAATCTTTGTAAAATGGAGACTATCAACTAACATCCAGAACACAAATTTGACGAATTTTACGTCGAATTGGTCTATATAAGCTGCGAGCGATTTTTTATATTCGTGTGAAGTTTGATCTAGATCTTGGAAACAGTGCTTATCGCTGTACTCAGCGATAGTCAAGCGCCAGTAAAAACGATATCAGCTTATGAAGTCAAATCGCTATTAGTGGATTGGCACTGTGTACAGCTGATCTGGATGCCAGGGCATAAAGGGATAGCTGGTAATGAGCTGGCCAACGACCTAGCCCGCTCTGCGACTGCTTCCAGAATGATGGGGCCAGAACAATACATTGTGGTAGGGTCCCACGTCATAAAGGAAAGAAAACTTGTCCAACATGGGCATAGTATCTTGTGCAAATTGCCGGTTTTGCGAATATCTGATTCTAGATTTCTCAGCCATTTGTAAAAGCAGGCTCAAGGCCCTTGAATCCAACAGGGAACACATCACCTCCATCGCGCCCAACACACGCCTGGAGCTTTGTGACCATATGTGATATAGGAGAAAGCACAATAGACTATAGGTCGCAGTACAAAACTTCAATTATTATTATTTTTTTTTTTTCAATCATAAAAGAGATAATAAAAGATATCTTATGGATTTACTCAACTCATTTTGGTTAATATTTTGGGTATGAATCATGTTAATCTCAGCCGAAACCGAAAACAAAAAAAAAAATTAAATCCACTGAAAGCACTGAAGACCAACTGAGTGTTAAAACAAGTTTATAGAAATTCGGATTAAGCGGTGGCATGCTTGTATGAACTTAAAAGGAGTCTATTTTGAATTTGTATTATTCATCTTATCAAATGAAGAAATCAGTGAAATATATTAGGGGAAAAAAGATAAACCCAAATACCCATTCGGAAATAGTTAATTAATGTTCCAGTACTCAGGTATGAGGAAGTTTCAACAACTAAAGTGTGGCGACAACAAATATAGGCTGGCAAAAAGATGGTCGGCTTAGCAATCCAATCACCATGACTAGAAAGTCATAGAAAGATCGCAACAAACCCTTAATTCGAAACAGCTATCGGCAGTTCAGTCTACGCCAAATCTAAATGGTTGAGCAACACCAGCTGCTCAGCATGAATTTGGAAGATCTTCTCGACGTGTGATTAGAAACAGCGAACTTTTTTTTGCGTCAACTTATGGCTCACTCTCCGAAAAGAAAGTTTAATTTTCAGGAAAAGGCATTTATAGTCTGCTAATTCTTGCGTATATAAACTTGTTAATCGTTCAACCCTGAATTATTGTTTACGTCTTTAAATTTAAAGGAAAATGCTAAACAATATTCTCTTGGTCCAACCGTTGAGTCCAATTTTCGATACTTAGAGCATTTCGACTGGTAACTGGTGAATGATACTCGTGATGCTCTGCTTCAAAGCTTGAATCGAATCGCTACTGTCCGCATAGACCTTAGACTTTACATGTCCATGCAGCAAAAAGTCCAACGGTGTGATATCATACCATCTTGGTGATCAGTCGACGGGCCCAAAACATGAAATTATCTGCTCACCGATGTATTCTTTCAATAAATCCTGCTTATGCCACATATAACCTTAAAAAATCCATAAAATTTTGGGGTCGAACCTCATTTAGAAAAATTCGTTGGACTAATTTTTACAAGTCATTCGTCATGCCCATCCTGCTATCTGGTGCAGAGGCATGGCTTGGTCATGTTGTCAGAATGGATGAAAATACTACAGCTCTGAAAGTATTCTACGCAGTACCCGCCGGTGGAAGCAGATGAAGGGGAAGACCCCCACTTCATTGTAAAAACCAAGTGGAAAAGGACCTGGCTACACTTGAAATCTGCAATTGGCGATAAACAGCGAAAAGAAAGAACTACTGTAAACTCGGCTATCTGCATTAATAAAAAAGAGGAAGCAGTCATTGATGGCAGATCATAATTCCAAATCTCTGGAATCTTAAGATCTAATATGAGCTGATTGAAAAACGAAATGACGAAGTCTTATAGAGTTCAATGAACGCTGACTGCAACTCTGACTCTTAAAAACATTAATTTATTCGGACTATAATGTCATTCTTCTTATGCAGTTTTTTAATAAGTTATGTAAAAGGTAAATTTTTATTCACTTTTCTTTTTCCCTAAGCTGCTAGAAAACGGTAACTACTTTGTGTGGAACATTGACTTCAATTTTTTCATCGTTATCCGGGTTACTAAGTTTTTTCTTCGCTTTTTTCTTACGTATGTAAAGAAAAGTTTATATACATACATACATATGTACTCATAGTATGACTCGTGTTGAAACTTTTACGCAGTTGGACTATGACAGCACTACTACAACAAAACTCAAATATAATAGTATGACTTACCTGAGTACTGCGTCGTTCCATTTAGACAGGGGTAGCACATGCTCAGTAAGCGCAACTAATGTGTGAGGAACAGTGGGTTAAATTTTGATAAAATGTTTAAAAAAATTTTGTGTACAGATTCATGTACATACATACATATATGACCAAATGAACAAAGTTTAGAAATCGTTCAACTTTATTACGAAAATTCACGTTCTGTAAAAAATTAGTTTCGCGCGCTTCGCTTAATTTATGGTCAACATAATCGACCTACTGAGCGTACTATTCGCAACACCATCACCGATCTTGAGACCCAACATTTATTATTAGATAATATTGGACCGAATAGATCACGTCCAGCAGTGTATACGAAGACCGTGTAGAGTCGATTCGGCGCCGTTCGCAGCAACACGGACTGACGTATGGAACGACTTGTCGCATGTTACGTTGAAATTTTATATTAAAAGCGAAAACTGAAGCCGCTCAAATTTCTCAAGCGTCATCGTTTCGCTCTATGGGCTCTTGAAATGTTCCAAGAAGACCCTATGTTTTCGCGACTAATTTTGTTCAGCGATGAGGCCTATTTCTGGCTCAATGGGTGTGTAAACAAGCGAAATTCCCGCATTTTTAACGAAAATCATCCTTCAAGTGCTGCCATTTTACTCAGAAAAAAACAACGGTTTGGTATGGTTTGTGGGCCGCTGGTTAATCAACGGTTAATATTCCTTTAAAGAATTATGCCGGTGATAACGTAACCGTCAATGGTGACCGTTATCGCGTCATGTAACCTACAATTTGATGCCTGAAACTGAAGCTCGTGTTCTCGACATCAACCAATGTATTTATTGAGAGAACACTTCGGTGAGCAGATAATTTCATGTTTTAGGCCGGTCGATTGAGCACCAAGATATTGTGATATCACACCGACAGACTTTTTCGTGTCTGAATATGTAAAGTCTAAAGACTACGCGGACAATCATGCTTCGATTTTGGCCTTGGAGCAAAACATCACTCACGTCGTTCGCCACTTAACACTTGAACGAGTCATCGACAGTTAAACGAAGTCGCAGCCAACATTTGAAAGAGATAGTCTTCAAAAAATAAATGCCAAAGAATGTTATATCGAATCATAATAAACATTTCCCGCTAAACTTTAAGTTTCTGTGTTTTTTCTTCTAAAAAATGGGAAACCTCGAAATAGACCATAAACCTCGAGTTTTTGCCAGACTCTGCCATAATTTTTAGTAGCCTACAAAAATGTATGCTGAATTTAAAACAACAAAATAATTGAGATTATATCATATATAATTTTTTGGCACTTTTTGCTCACTACAGTTACACTGTGCTTAGCGCCCGCATACGTCTTCGGGGCCAACAAGAAGTCGCAACAATTGAATTTGAATTATGATGCATGTAGAGAAAATACTCGCACACACACACACAAACTCACATACATACATATGTATACTCATAGCGTACAACTTATATGAATGCACTGTGTGTACATCGTCCTTTCTTACACTTCCATTGTCGTAAGTATTCTGCGTTAAGTACATTGGCCGCAAAAAAGGTAAAATGCCAATGCATTGCCAGCGGGGCGATTGAATCATTTTCGCGCGCATTCGCCTTGGCCAGCTGGGTGACTGTGTACACATGCCCATATAACTGTGTGTATACATATGTATATTCTTAAGATAATGTTTGTGTGCTAAGGCATACGGGATTTTCCTTTGCTTTGTAAAGGGATCACCATGAAGGTACTATATGGCATGTTTATATGTTTGTGTGTGTGTAACATTAGTGTTTATGAGGTTGTATTGTGTA